ACATGTAATCCTATATATATACAACCATGTATTTTTTGTTGCATCTGCTTTTCTAGATAAAAGTTAGGAGAAGTCAATTCTAACGTCAAATAACCCCTGCTTTGAGCTCTTGGTTGAGTAAAGGCTAGAGGTGGTATCTCAACAAAAATATTTTTCCTGGGTGAATTTTAACCGCATGCAGCTACTGATTTGTAGAAAGTCTCAAAGGCAAAAACCTAGAGGCAAAAAATTTATGTTGACCAGTTATGCACCCTTTTTTGCTCTAATAGGATGTTGTAGATTTAAACATGTGTTGCATTTGTTTCTCCTAATAAGATTATAGCTCTAAAATTTAATTTAATTTTTCCGATGCTGGCTGGTAGTAAGGTAGTAAACTGGTAGGCTTTTCAAACTATAGTAGTTTTATAAGATGCTGATTCCATAAACAGTTGGTAGGAAAGTTTCCTGAACTTTTTGGTAGCTGTAAAATATCTGAGTTCTAACAGAAACATGTTGAGCATAAAATGTTGTTAGTGTTTTTTGTGTGCAATGTTGACGCTACATAGCTTGAGGCATGCAATTTTCGGTTAATTTTTTAATCTAAACAAAACTCAATTATTTACTGCTAGTAATTACACAGACCATCAAAAATAAGGAGATTTTTTTCCATCGCAGAGCAAGCAACATGTTTTTCTAATAATATTTTTAATTCAAATTTCAGATATGCACTACTTTTTCTTTCATCACATAAAGCTTCAAAGATGTTTTTGTTCAAGTCTCTAATATTTTGCGTGAACAGCATTATTCAAATAACTTTTTTGTCAGCAATAATGCCAACAAAAAGTTGCACTGATAAATAGAAACTTTATATATATACAAACTTGGGCCATGGTACACCCCCTGTCCCGACAAAATCTGCATTTTTCGCAAAAAAAAAAAAACAATATTTGCCGTAAAAAAAAAAAGGTCCTCATATTTTAATTTGGGTGGTGCCCAAATACGGTCGACCCTATTAACAACATCTAGAGTAGCCCCCGATATATATATATATATATATGTATATATATATATATATATATATATATATATATATATATATATTATATATATATATATATATATATATATATATATTCCAATCTTTGTTCATACCCTTCAAAATTCATACCCTTCAAAATGGTACTCTTCCCATCTCTTGGAAATCAGTCAACATCACTTCGATTTACAAAAAAGGAGACAAACAATTAGCTTAAAGTTATCGACCAATCTCCCTCACATCTGTACCTTGCAAGATTATGGAATGAATAATTAAAGCAGTAATGATGAAACACCTTATCAATAACAGTCTTCTCAATTCTGCACAGCACGGCTTTGTTCCCAAAAAATCATGCTCAATGAATTTAATAGAATCAATTGACCTTATCTCACAAGCGCTAAATGAAGGTAATGTAGCAGATGTTATATTCTTAGATTTTGCCAAAGCCTTTGATCTTGTTCATCATGATTCTCTTCTACTTAAACTCAGTGTGTATGGTTTTAAAGATCAGTTGCTTGCTTGGCTAAAATCTTTCTTGACAGGTCAAAGACAGAAAGTAGTCATAGGTTCAAATTTGTCAGAATGGAAAGAGGTAAAAAGTGGTGTCCCTCAAGACTCTGTATTGGGGCCCCTGCTTTTTATTATATTTATCAATGACCATCCTGATGCGATGACACACTATGTTAAACTTTTTGCAGATGACTGTAAACTAATAGGAATTATCAAAAGTTTGAATGATCGAATGACGGTACAAAAGATTTAAACAAAATTGTTGATTGATCAAAAAAATGGAAAATGAAGCTGAATTATGCAAAATGCAAATCGATGGTAATCAGGAAATCATCACAAAAAGTTCCTATGTATGATTATACACCAAAACTTCCTATATATGATTATACAATAATTAACGACAACAGTTTCAACCAGAGCAAACTTTGTGCTTGGGTCTCTAAGGCAGTCATTTAAAACATGGAATATTGAAACAATTTTAATACTTTATTGTTCCTTTGTCCGTCCTCATCTAAAGTATGCATCTTCAGTTTGGAATCCTTACCACTAATCAGACATCAAACTAATTGAAAAGGTCCGAAGACAAGCTACAAAGCTGGTTCCTGAACTTAAGAATATGGAATACCAAGAGAGACTTACAAAAATTGGTTTAACAACACTAGAAGAAAGGTGTAATAGAGGTGATGCAATTCAATATTTTAAAATGATAAACAATTTCAACATTATCAAACAATATTACCCAAATACAATTGCAAGCTCAATTGGTTAAGAAGGACCAGCAAGTGGAGTAAGATGTTACCCTCATCGTATTTCCAAGCAAGTAACAAAGAACTGTGCTCAAAGAGAACATTTCTTTTCAAATAGAATTGTGCCTGTTTGGAATCAGCTACCAATAAAAGTTGTCAATGCCTCGTCTGTTAACTGTTTCAAGAACCTTTATGACAAGCACTAAAAAGTGCAACAGCTGCTATAACCAACCAAACTGGTTTACTAGAACCTACTTCTAGTGCAGCCTAAACTTTATTATTATTATATATATATATACATATATATATATATATATATATATATATATATATATATATATATATATATTATATATATATATATATATATATATACATATATATATATATATATATATATATATATATATATATATACACTCTTGCATGATTGTCTTTAAGTCTTTACCATAAAATGTCAGTTTTAGGTTTTTTTTAATTTTAAAGACCAGAAAAAATTTGTTTTTATTTATTTTTTTATTTATTTGATAATTTATATTGACTGCCTGCCCAAACCAAACCCTCAGTCGATGTAGCAGCACTCTGTTTCGAGTCAGGCTATTTGTCAATCAATGTAGCAGCACTCCGTTGTGAGTCAGGCTATTTTTTCAGTTGATGTAGCAGCACTCCGTTGTGAGTTAGACTATAAAACAGTCGATGTAGCACACTCTACGCATGTTTTACAGAAATAAAAACATTCAGAATGTTTTTTATTTTTAAAATAATAAAATAAAAATATTCTAGTCTTTTAATTTGTGGTTTTTTGATTTAATTACTTCCTGCAATCAAATTAATGTGTTTTGACATAATCTAACCTTAATTTTGTCAGCTTTAAAACCACAAAAAAGTGAAGAGACATTTTTCACCACCAACACATTTTCTTAGCCGTAAAGTATAGGAATATATATAATATATGTTTAATATATAATATTTTATATATAATATAATTTTTATATATTGTATAATTTTATATATAATGCATAATGTTGCAGACTTTGATAAGCAGTCTGATGTCATACTGAAATAGCGGGCTGCCAGGGAGTTCAGTACATAGATCGATTGACTAAATAGAAAGAACATGCACAAAGTGCCATTACATCAACTAAGAGTTCATCAACTAAAAAAGTGCTAAATATGCTATAATATATATGTATATATATGTGTGTGTGTGTATCAGTGTGTGTCCTCAACATTAAATATTTTTATTTAGTTTCGTTCAATCTGATAACATTTTATTTGTTATCAGATTAAAAAAATTAAATAAAAATATTTACTGTTGATGACAATATTTTAACTTTTAGATCTTGTAATATTGTTTTTACAATAATAAAAGTTAATGGCTTAGTATTGTACATCGGTCATGTTTCAATATTTTAAAGTTCAGAGCACACTAGTTAAAAATATTCATATAGAACAGCTGAGAAAGACTTCATTGCGTTTATTTTCGTATTCCAAAGTATCATTTGGCTTAAATAATGAAAAGTCTAAAGAATTTTTAGAAGATCATAAGCAAATTGCAGTTACTAAGCACATCCCAGTTACAAAAAAGACATTACTAAACAAAATCATTAATGAAAGAAATATGCAGCATTTCAAAAAAGAAAATATGCAAAATGGCAAAACAGAGATTTTAGAATTTGCTAAACATCTTGAATATTCTTGTTTAAAAGATTCTTTGATTGGACTTTCTGAACTTCAGGTATTTTTTGTTGTTATTAATTTCATCTGAAAATCTAAGGGGTGTACTAAGTAATGAAAATATTTAAGATTTTTTTTGTTTTTTTTTTCTCAAATAAAATAAGGATTTTAAGATAAAATTCTATCAAAAGTTTTCATGGCTGCTAAAATAAAAACATTTGAATTTCAGTTTATGTAAAAGGAAAACTCAAAGCATTTTTTGACAAAATAATGTCCAATATATAAATCATTGGTTTATGTCATTATGTCATTATTATATCATTCTGCAAGAAAAGTAAAAAAAAAAAAGTAGTTGTAAATTCAAAGTGATAGTAAAAAATCCAATACGCAATGCATAAATTATTTTAAAGGTGAAAACCTGTCTAAAATAAATATAAAATATACATTTGTCATTTTATATTTTGTATTTGTTTTTCTAAAGATTCATATATACTGTTTGGAGTTATATATAGAACCATGGAAAAATTTTCAGAATCATATCTTTTAGGCATCTCAAAAAACTTTAAAAAAGTCTTACACCATTTTGAAATTAAATTTTTATAGAGAAGCTTTAATTTTTTAGTGTTTTAGGTATCATTTTTGAGTTCCTCTCCCTAAAAAATAGTTAGGTACAAATTTTCAACACTATTAAGTAAGTATTGCATAAGTTAAAGCTAATTGTGTTATGTATTTAGCTTAAAAAAATAAATGGTGCTGAAAAAAATAATCAAAAAAGAGATTGGGACTGAGTATCAATATCTCTGAAACTATAAGGAGTCAGACACTAAAATTTGGAGTGAAGTTTTTTTTCATTAATATATGCTTGAACACCTCACTAAAATATATGTGTGTGTGTATGTATATATATATATATATATATATATATATATATATATATATATATATATATATATATATATATATATAAATAAATAAATATATATATATATATATATATATATATATATATATATATATATATATATATATATATATATATATATGTATATATGTATATATGTATATATATATAAATATATATATATATATATATATATATATATATATATATATATATATATATATATATATGTATATATGTATATATGTATATATATATAAATATATATATATATATATATATATATATATATATATATATATATATATATATATATATATATATATATATATATACATTATAGTTCTCATTTGTCACCAGTATCAATAGGTGACAAATGAGAATGAAAAATTATTTGAACCTAAGCCTACTCTGACTCTTAACATGCTTTTTGTAAATAAAGACACATAAAGAAGAATATTTACTCTCGGTTCCTTAATTCAAGAGAGGGATTTTAGTCCAGATTAACAGAGGGTTTTTATTAAATAGGATTTAATACGCTGATATAAGTTTTTTAATTATTTTCTAATTTTTTAGGTTGATTTTCACTGCTTTTTTTTTTTTTTTTCTTTTTTTTTTTTTGATTATCACAAGTAAAAATTAATAAACAGGGGGGTGAGGGTGGTGGCTGGGAAAATTGTCCAAAAATTAAACGTTCCCCCCCCCCTTTCTTTTTTATTAAGGACTCGAGAGTACAAGAAGATTGTTCATATATTCTTGTTTTTTGCAAATGTCTTGTGCTAAATGTTACAGTTTTGGCAGTTAATGACAATATTCACACTTTTCCTAAGTACAAAATTTGTATCATTGATAGCCTCTTGTTTAGTATTCCTATGTTTTTTATGGGTTATGCCAGACAATCATGAAATATACTTGCATTTAAAAAGATCAATGTTTAAAACAACTGTTTTCAAGATGTCACTAATAAGTTAATTTGTTCTTATGAATATCTTCTTCATGTTATACCTAAGAAATTTAAATTATTAAATTGTTATTTTTTACCGAACGAATCTAAGTTGTTTAAAAAATATTTAAAGAGAAACATCTGAGAAATGCTGTGGAATGAGGAATTTACTTGGTTCTGAGGAATCAAGTAAATCAACACATTTTTTCAATGATGACCTACACTAAGGTCTGGCTTTAATTACATCAAAAAATGATAGCACAGTCACATCATTTATGCAGTTATTTTGGGATGAGCAACAAAAATACTAAAATACTTTAAAATGGGGAATTTGTTACCAACCAATGATTATTTGCTATGGTTTAGGTCTTGTTTCAAAGTTTCCTGCAGCTTATAAGGAAATTATTTTTAATGAAAAAAGTCCTAGATTTGTTATTTTAATAAGTCAAAGGTGTTTGAGAGGCTACAAAAACTATATCTGACAAAGAAATTTAAGAAAGTTTCAAAAGTTTCAAAAGATTTTTTGATTGAGAATGAATCGCGCTTTTATTTGATAAAATGAAAATTCAGGAAATTTTGGTTTTGGAGTAAATATTCTGATTTACCTTGGTAACACTAAATTGATTCTTTAACTCTAAATAAGATAAAACTACAACATTCAAGCTATTAAGTTATTTCCTTTATTTTGGAAGGCTGACATTTTAAAGTAATTGCTACTACAAGTTATGGTGCCTCGCGTAATCATAATTTTTTATAGGGTTATTCCATATCAAATCACCTAAAGGCTCCCAAGGTACCACCTCAGATTAGCTTTAAATTTTGACCACACACAGATCTTATGAAAAAAATCCAGAAAATTTCAGCTTGATTGACCAATTTGTTCAAAAGTTATGATTGATTTAAAAATGACCAAAATCCAAAAAATTTGTGTATCAGGAGCATATAGCAGTTTGTTTTGATTTTTGACAAACCATAACTTTTAAAATAAAGATGGTGATCACCTAAAATTTTGTAGGGTAATAGTTTTTCACCCAAATAATCCATTGTTGCAGTTGTTTTTGACTGATTTTTTACAGTTTTTGAGTTATTGTACCTTAAAGTTGCTTAATATTGCAACATTATAAATATTTTTTCGAACTTTAACGTGTTATAGTTTAATACTTACTTAACAAAAGTTTTTTTTTTTTTTTAACTTTTTTTTTTTAACATCATCGCTTCCAACAAGGCTGCAAGCAACCACTAATTAGTATTGGAAGTTACTGGAAGAGAAAAGATGAAGGTTGTAGAGCAAGATAACGATTGACAGACGACTTAAAAGATTGCAAATTATATGAATCAGGAAAGCAAGATGAAGGAAGCGAATTGAAAAGAACTGATGTTTGAGGAAAAAAACTAGACGAATAAGAGTTTTTAGAACAGTAACAGAAAAAGGATGAGAATTAATTGAATGACGAGTAACATGAGAATGAATTTTAGTAGATGGCACATTAGACGATAGCTCTTTAGAGCAGTGCCCATTATAGTATTTGTAGAAAAGAGAAAGAGAAGCAACATTACGACAATGTGACAGAGGTTGAAGGTTGGCTGCAAGAGCAGGTCCAACTATGTTTACAATGCATTTTTGCACCTTGTCTAAAAGAGAAAGGGCATCATTAGAAGATCTGCCCCAGATATGGCAACAGTATTCCATACAAGGTCGGATTTGAGATTTATAGAGATAGAGAATAGAATCCAGAGTAAGAAAGTGACGAGCTCGATAAAGAGAGGCGACTTTAGCAGATGCTAATTTTGCAACGGATTTGATATAAGGTTTCCAAGAAAGATCAGAAGTAAGAGTTAATCCTAGAAGATAAAGGGTAGGAGACTCATCGAGTACATTACCGCTCATAAATATAGGAAGGTCTAAATTATTGTGATAACGATTGGCTGAATAAAATTGAGTTTTTTAAATTTAATTTTGTTATCTTTGTGTACTTAGGGTCACCACTTGTTAGAATAATCAAAATTATGCATTAAAAATTAATTTAGCACATGCAGCAGTCTATTGAAAAATCACTTTTTTTAAAAATTATAATAAATTACATTGACTTTGCTGGCATAGAAAGTAGCGTAAACAGTTGAAATAAATTATGAAACTTTTTAATGTTGAGGTTCTATATATAGACAATCACCAAAAAAAATAAAGACTTATACTCTATCTTATGACATGATTGTAGCCTTTTGAGAGTGATGATATTTTCAAAAGGAGAATGTTATTAGACTATGAGCTAGCCTTATGCCTTAGTCTAATAATTAGTCATAGGGATGGCAGTAGTATTTTTTTTATTTATCTCTAAATGAATATATTCAGTTTTCTTTTTAATAACATAATGTAATTAATTTGTACTAATAATAATGTCATAATCAGTGTCTGATATTTGTTAGTTTCTTTGAGATTTAATGTTTATGTCTTTTTTAAACTTTTTAGATTAGTAATAAAAATAAAAAAGTAGTAAAAAATGACAGAAATATTGTGTGGGGAAAGTTTTAAATAAAGATTGCCATAAAACGTATTGTTGTAGAATGATTGGAAGATTAAAACTAAAAGATATTGTGAACACAGATGTTGAAGTTTTAATTCAAAGAATTGGACACACTTTTGAGCTAAATGAGGAGATATGTTCTCACCATGAAAAAGCCTATATTTCTAGATATGAAGCGCTTCAAAAATACTGCTGTGTTTAAAGTCAACAAGAAAAAAATTATTAAGGGATTGTGTAAAGTCGATATTTTAACAGCAAGTAAACTTAAGATCAAACTTGGTCAAAAACTTTGAACTAACTGTTTGAATGAATTCAAACTCGAACAGATTATAGGAAAATTAAGTCAAGAAGATGAAGACAAAGATGTTGACGATGAGGAGTTTAGTTCTTTAGACCTAAATAAGACAGTTTTAAATAAGAGTGTTTTTTTACTGGAAATATCTCCTCTAAAAAATGTAAGTAAACGTGACAAATTAGAATATGGAAAGCAAAAAGTTAAAAAACTGTTAAACAAAAGTTAAAAAACAAATATGACAAACCTAGTAGAATCAGCATTGGATATAGACCCAAAAGAAATGATATCTGAGAAAAAGCAAAAGTGCATTAACTGTAATGATTTAGACAAACTTATAGATGCAATAAAGGAAAAAGTAAAAATCAGTTTGAATGAAGAAAAAGTTCAGTTACTAATATTA